TGCTAATGGCAGTCATGTCTATGAAATCATCCAAATTTCAAAATAGAACGATTCCATAAATAGCCAAAGCAATCGCATCATAGCAAGCCTCCCAACTCTGGGTATCCAAAAGAGTATAGACTATTTCTATAAGGAACTTGAGTGGGAACCCCTTGGTGTTTACTCTAACTTCTAGATTAGAGGTAACATCTTTCTTATACATATGAAGGGAAGCAACTATAACCTCATGCTTCAAAGACTCTTCCACATCTATAAACGACAACTTGTTCTTCATAGGGATGCCAACAAGGTATTCAAATTCTTCCAACATTTGTGCTATTCGAAAATCTTGGAATGTGAAATATCTCATTGGTGGATCATAGAATTGGGCCAAGATCAGAAGTGCCAAGGAGTTCAACTTCTAGGTTAATACTACACAACCATCGACTATAAGGTTCTAAAAGGTCCTTAGAGCCATCAACCCAACTCAAAAATATTATCAATGTGACGAAGGCACGTAAAATAATAACATCTCCAAGAGAATCTACTCTAGGAAGGGTCTTCGTATTGTCCCAACGAGGAATGCTCCTTGCATGCCAATAATACACAACCACCATCTTAATCCTATGGTTCTCCTCAGACTCAGGTAGAGAGTCTATCTCAGAAAATGCTAATAATCAGAGATCCTGAATAATGTCATAAGAACCAACAACAAATAAGTAATGTCAATAATAATGAAATAAATACAAGAAGACAGAAAAAAAACAAATAAACAAAGTTCACATTCATCACAAATTGAACTAAGTTAGGCTTGACTATCTCTAGTTTGGAAATTTCCCCCAGCAAAGTAGTCAGTTGTCGCATCTCGAAAAATAGATCCTTCGTGAAGTCCCGGAAAAATGATTTAAATAGAGTTTCCACCGAACTTTATTTATTATAAAAGTGGAAAAGAAAAATATAGATAAAACTCTTAAAATAAAAAGAAGATGGTCATCGTAACCAAATTCGGTTTTGAGATTCAATTACGCAAGGGGGAGGTATTAGCACCCCTCGCACCTGTTATACTCAACAGAAACCTTTTAGTTAAACTTGCGTTTGAATGTTAGCTTATGTTAATTATTTTCTTCCAATGATTAAAAGTGCAAAAGGAAAATAAAAGGGGTCGCAAAAAGATTTTTATTAGGGTGCTTGACAAGATTGCGAGACTTTCTCCTACGTATGGTCGAGTAAAATTAAGAACTCAAAGCTTCGTAGTTCAGGAGAAGGCTACAGTTTGTTTGGTTTGTTTTATTTGAATAAGTTTATAGATCGCATTCTTATGGTTAACCATTAGCTTGTTTGCTCGCAACAGAGACTTAAGCGCTAGTTTGTATTCGCATTAGAATGGACTAAAAATGTTGTTTTGAAGAAAGAAAAAAATTTGGATCGCACGGGGGGTGAGAAATTAGATTAATGTTTTGAATATTTTGTTGAATAATGATTACTCGAATAGTTGAGTAAGGAAACTCGTAACCAAGTAACCAAGGAAAGGAATGGAAGGCTCTAGGCTATCTTCCTTTTCATCCGTCATTGCAAAAGGATTTAGATAATGTTAATGTATTTTGAATGGACGACGAATACTTGAATGGTCAAGTAAGGCAACTCGTATCCAAGTATTCAGGAAAAGGAATAGAACACTCCAGACCATCTCCTTTTTCACCCTTAATGAAATAGTACTTAAGTATAATTAAGTATTTTAATTTGAATTAGAAAATCACTTGATGTTAATCGAGGTTTTAATTTGGGTTGAGGTGAAATGCGAGAATGATTTAAGAGAAAATTCATTCGGCCTTGGACCAAGATTTTGAGAAAAGTCCACTTGGCATTGGACCAAGGGTTTTAACTTTTTTTTTTTGAAAAGTTCATTTACAAGATTAAGATCATTATACATTTTAATTTCAATTTAAACAAATAACAAATCAAAACATGATGATGAGCATAATACTAAATGAGCAAGAATAAAGGCACAAGTGCATGAGTATGATAAGCAAGGGTGACTAAACGAAAAGATGATGGAATTAATTAATTAAATTGCATTTTAATTAAATATTTAATTTTATTAAATTTAATTATTTCAATTAATTATTGAAAAATAAATCTCATTATTTAATTAAATTAATTCAAAGTTAACTATCCTAATTAACTTTTTTTTTCTTTTCTAAAAGCAATATGCATTGAAATAGAGTATTAGGGATACTCTCACCCATTACTGCAAGAACAATTATCCTAATTAGTTAATTAAAATAAATTGTAATTAATTAATAAACAATATAATAATAAAATATTATAATAGAAAAATGAAATAAGAAATTTTATGAGTTAATAACAAAAAATAAATGGCGGACTATTAGGAATTGGGCCCAAGAGAAATCACACAAACCCTAAGGGGCGCTCAGTCTACTAGGGGTAGACAGAGTCAACCTTGGTTGACTCAAACTCCCCCACTTGATCACCAAACAAAATCAGAGTAAAATGATCGGGGAAAGAAAAAAATGAGGGTGAACATGGATACCATATGGATGTATGCACTAGATCCATTGGTCAACCACCAGGTCAAACGAGGACAAGTGGCAAGAAAGAGGCCAACACTGCTACCACTTTTCCCACTCAGAGTGATTGCCTGCGATGAATATTGATAAGAGAGTCCCAAGTGGGACTCAACCCCTCATTCTTCCTTCAGCCCACTCTCTCTCTCTCTCTCTCTCTCTCTCTCTCTCTCTCTCTCTCTCTCTCTCTCTCTCTCTCTCTCTCTCTCTCTCTCTCTCTCTCTCTCTCTCTCTCTCTCTCTCCATTTAAACTACAAACATAAGAAAACCTGCAATTAGCATAAAGGAAAATCAAACACGGTGGAGTTGCACGAACTCCATGGCAATGCCCAAGAACATCGCAGTGACACCGCCATCACCTACCTAAAACCCAACCAAAATCCTTACTCAACCTTGTCGTTATGCGAAAAATGCACGGAGTCGTCACCGAACTTTATTTATTCCGAAGGGAAAATATCGATAAATCCCCTAAAGGTGAAGAAAATGGTCACACAATCAAATTCAGGTTCAAAAGTCAATTATGCAAGGGGAAGGTATTAGAACCCCTCACATCCGTTGTACTCAACAAAAATCATCTAGGTCATCTAAGCGTTGATGGGTGTGGTTTATCTAAAGGTCTACTTGCTAATGGAAAAAATGGTTGTTTTTTATTAGGGTGCTCGCCAATTACTGGGGTCTTCGTGCCTATGTATCCTTATTGAAACAATGAGGAATTAGAGCTTCGTAGTTCGGAATAGAAAATAAGTGTTTTCTTTGTTGATTTTACCTTGAAAAAGGGTTTTCAGAGTGATACCTTAAGGCAAAAGAGAGTTTGGTGAGTTGTTATTGTTAATTTTTAGAAAGAGATTGTTTTTGAAAATAAGTGTTCATATTTAATATACTTTTGCTCATAAAAAATCATAAGTATAAATTATATTTTCTCTGTCCCAAATTATAAGTCACTTTTTTAAAAAAAAATTCTCAAATTATAAGTCATCTTACATTCCAATGCAATATTAATACTATTTTTTTCAATATACCCTCAAATATTTATTATTATTTATTATTTCAACTCTTTTAATTTCATTATTTATTCTTTCAACTCTTTTAATTTCTCTTTTATGTGTAATTATGAGAAGCATTACTGTAAAATCATACATAATTTATATTTTTCATAAAGTAATAATTAAGTTTCTTAATCCGTATGAAATGCTCAAAACGTCTTATAATTTGATATGGAATGAGTATTTATCTACCGTCTGCTAGTATATAAATCAATTTTATTGTAACGAGTTAAATAAGAAGAGTGATGTTTTTTCTGTTGTATGTTTTAAAACTAGTGAGGACATTTTAAAAGACGAGGTAATTGTAATTTTTCTTTTAAAAAAAAGTATAACACTATTTCATAATTCAGAGTAGGGGTGTGCAAAATAACCAATAACCATAAACCAAATTCTCATCCAAATTAATTCAAATTTTAAAATCCAGTCCAAATTTATATTTTAAATTTGGTGGCCCATTTATCAAATTAAAAAAAAAAATGGTAACCATTTGTTTCAAACCGTATTGAGATTCGATAACCATTTTTCAATAAGCTTCAAAAACAAAAGTAGAATAGATTGGGAAAATCAAGATCAACACCCCTAGTTTGAAATAAAATTGATTTGGCTTAAAGTAGAATAAATTTAAGGTAGATAGTTTGCAATAAGTTTAAAGTAGAATAAGTTTCACGATTAATTGATTTATATCAATTCAACGTACTTCTCGATTAATTGATTTAATTCACGATGAAAAGGAATTATTCTAATTCCAGTTTTACATTGAGTAGTTTAAAGTTTAAGATATATGAGGTGTTGATTTAATTCAATGTAAAACTGAAATAAAATTGATTAATTGATTTATATCAATTATTTGATAGTTTGCAATAAGTTTAAAGTAGAATAAGTTTCAGGTGGTTTATCAATTATTAGATAGTTTGCAATAACATTGATTTTTTTAAAAAAAATTGGTTTTAAAACTGATTTCTTTAAAGAAAATAAAAAACTGATTTTGAGAGAAACCAATTTAAAACTGATTTTTAAAAAACCGGTTTGAAAGCGAACCAATCCACTTGTAAACCGATTTTAAAAAATAAACCGGTTTTACATACATGATTTTAAGATCCAAACCAAACCATATATGTGGTTTGATTTGGTTTGGTGTATAATCCATATACACCTCTATTTACCCCTATTTCAGAGTAAGAATCATGAGATATGAGATATGATAGTAAATCCAAACATAGTAAGTTTTATTTAAACTATTTCTAAAATACATAGTATTGTAATCCCTAGTGGGGATTCAATTACAAGCAGAGAAATTAAGCCATTTTCTTTATTCTGTCTTGGTTATTACTTGTCACAACAAACCAAGTAGAGTACTTACTACTTATTCATCAAGCACAAGCCCTGCAAGAACTCAGTACGTAACCCTGCAAAAAGTAAAGCAAATCCATCATGCATTTAAACTTCAACTTTTAAAAAACTTAAAAAGTTTTTAGTCCATTATTTAATAAACAATATATAAAAATTCTGAAACAATGAGAGGGATAATGGTGAGAGATGTAGTTACTTGTTGCAATCAATGGTGGGGCTAATTTTGTAGGGCACGTTGATACCACACTTTCCAGGGAGGGCTGCAAGGGCGGGAAGATTGAGTCCAGGTAAACTGAGTGAAGTGGATTTGAGACACCTACAATTAGCTTGACGATCGGAGATAGTTTTGGCTAGGTTGAAAACAGTTCTAACTCCATTGCAACATGGTGCTGGAACAGATGGGCCTGGTCTTCTAAGGTAACCAATGCATGGTGCTACAGTTAGTTGCACTTGGCCACATGATTGGGCAGCGTTTGCTAAAGGAGCACTCAAAACCAAGCATGTTAAAGCCAGGTAAATAACCATTGAGTTAGCCATGATTGTTTTGGAAAGGTTTTGTACTTCAAAATAAGTGTGTGAGTGAGGGTGGAGGTGATGAATGTGTTATAAGGTACATAGCTATAAGGACTATTTATAGAGAATTGATGAAACTTGGTCCCAAAGTTTAACATTATTTATTATGTGAGGAGAGGACAGTTTCTATGCCAATCAAAATCTCAAGAATAAATATCCAACACCATAAAAACTTCATTAACTATTATCTTTGTCTACATCGTCTTGTGAGAAACAACATTTCTTTTCTTTTTCTCATAATGAGCCATTCATTTATAAAAATAAAAATTATTTTAAAACATGGTATTATTTTTAATTTTAATTAAACCACTATTTAATTTTTTCACTTAATTAATAATAATTTAACACTATATTCCATTTAATATTTATGATAATTTTGAATCTAGCAATAGTTGATAAATATAATTGAGTAAAAGAAACTCATTTCATTTAATTTTTCTGTGTTTATATGCAATGGTTAAATGGAGAATTATAATTTTTTACTAAATCTTTTTACAAGCAAAATAAAATTATATATATATATATATATATATATATATATATATATATATATATATATATATATATATATATATATATATATATATATATATATATATATATATATATATATATATATATATATATATATATATATATATATATATATATATATATATATATATATATATAAAATACTGAAACACGCATCAAGAAAGAAAGAAAACAAAACAAAATAACAATCAACTCAACAAAACACCTAAAAGAAATCATGTAGAAAAAACAACAACAAAAAACCAAAACAAAAGACGAAAGGCAATGAAAGGCAAAACTCATAAACAATCTTCATTGAGCAACAAAACACTCATAAAAGGCGAAGGCACTCAAGCTACTATTGACTCAGATGTCTGTTAAGATTCTCAAGTCAGGTCAAGAAAGCACATGAGTTCTGTTAAGTATTAACAAGTGTGAATAGTGTGAATAATAGTTTCACATTGAATAGGAATGTGGTGACTTCAGTATTTATAAGTGAGAGAACCCACACACCTATCATCTTAAGGTTTTATGTGAATATGTAATATCTCTCTCACTTGTGTTACTCTTGACCCAGTGTTCAATGCTCATTAGTAAAAAAACTCCTCGAATCCGCATAAGGGGGAGCACTGTGGAAGTATTGTTGATATACTCACACTTAAAATTTTAAATGTTAGATAAATATGTGGTATCTTTCTCACTTATGCTACTCTTGACCCAATATTTAATACTCCTAAGTGATAAAATCTTTCCTAACAAATTCTCCACAAACTTCCCAAAAATACCATTTCCAAATATAAAAAAAGTTCATACCTTCTACTTTCTTCATTGTCACTATTTTATTTAAAAATATGAGATTTCCAAACACTTATCACTAGAATACCAATTTGAATTCTTCCTAATAATTTTGACCTAAACTAAAAATCTTAAACTATTTGAGTTTGACCAAATCGTTCTTACTAAAAGAAAATTTAAATAATAACAAAAATTATAATACGAAAAAAATAAATATTTTTTTATCTAATTATAATAATTTCCCGTTAAAGATGACCAATTTCTCTTTTTTTTTTAAATTAAATTTTTTGGCATTATTTCATAAAAAAATTAGGATTGTCTCTCGTATATCTATTTTATTATGAGAAAAAAGTACATCTAATTATACTTTAAAATTTCAAATTCAAATAAATTAAGTAGTTTTTAATTTGGGACTAAAATTCTCCTAAAATTATTATAAAAAGGATTAGTTCAATTTTAAACATAAATTTGAAGTTAATATATTAATTAACTAACTATCTTAGTTTATTAGTTGTGTCGAATATTTTTAGAGAATAGAACTAATACCTATTTTGTACTCTTTTTCAATTATGTTTAATATCTTTGTATCCTTTTTGTAGAAAAATCATCTAAACTAAAACATCAATAAAAATTAATGTGGTTAATAAGGAGTTGACGCTTCTTATTTTTAAATTATAAACTTTTTTAGAGATTTTTTGAACATATATAACAATTACTTTTATTAATTTTTTGATAGATTAAATTTTACGTTTTCTCATATTTTTATTTTTATATTTATTTAATAAATTGGTTATATTAAAAGAAAAAGTTGACACATTCAACAAAAAGTTTTGGTGTATAACCCAATTCACTTTCAAAAATTTAAATTTAAAAAAATTGGATCACCGACAGGTGGTTAAAAAGCTACATGAGAGTAAGCACCTAATGTTTCTATATATGTAAACCATGTGGTTTAATAAATTCTTGTCAAGTTTCTGCCTTCCCTAAAATGCTTATGAGTAGTTGTCACTTTCCGCTCAATTAAAAGCTTTAAGATAACTATCTATTAACACGTGATAATAAACACTTTATTTATAAAAAAAAGTATAAATTAAAATTATTATTATAATCAAATTTATATTACTCCCTTTAAAAATAAAACGAGTGTAAATTTAGGCTGACTGAAAAATTTGTTTATTTTAATAACTAAATATAAATCCTAAACACATTAATAAAGTATAATACATTTTATTAAGTGTTAATTGAATTGTTAAATGAATTAACGAGTGTAAATTTATTAAATTAATATTGTGTAAATAAAATAATGAAAAAACACATAATAAATATTGCATCGGTCAAAATCCTTTTCTGAAACTCCATTTCTCAAAACACATTCTCTCTGAAACCCCAGAACTCTATCTTCTTCCTCTCATCGTACATCAGAACCCATATTTCCATCAATCAAAACACAATTTTTCTCATCTCTCATCATCGCACGAACATTCTCTCTGAAATCCCAGATTTCAATCGCTCATTCATCCTCTCGTCTCACATCCGAAAAACCCTAGTTTTCATGATCAGAACACAACCTTTCTCATCTTTTATCATCGCACGACCATTCTTACAGCTCAATGACGACATGCACAATGAAAATACCGTACTAATTGGTTTTTTTAAATTATGGTTTAAATTTTTAGGTAGAAAATTAGGGTTTAATCTTTTAAGTAGAACGTTAGGGTTCATATCCATTTAGAAAATTAAGGTGACAAAAGAGTTTCTAGTCTATAATAATTATTTATAATTATTTGAGTTTATAATTATGAATAATGGAAGAATGATACATACATATATGGAATTTGGATGGCCATAAGATCCATTGCTTTGAAGGTCATGTAGCACCTGTTTGTTTGGTTCTTCCTCGCTCAAAGGAAAATATCCAGGTTAAATACTTTTTATCACTCCCTCTTCACATTTTGGATGATGTTGTTCATTTGATTAACATCAAATTCTTGCAGTATTTATTTTCGACTTCGTCTAACAAGAAAGTTAGGGCTTAGATGTATGATGATAAGACTTTCCATCTGGAGTACCACGCTCCCAAAAAATGTTTTTCCACACTGATCTATAGCGCTAATAGAACTAGGTGAGAAAACTAGGAATAATCAAAATTTATACTATTACTATAAGATTTTGCTTAAGTTTAAATGAAGATAGTGTTAAACACTACCATTCCTAGTGCTCGTTGAATAACGTTGCACATAATTATAGCTCTAATTGCGATGTTGCGATTATGAACCATCAGAAGTGGATATCAAACTGCAATTGAACTTAGGTCCCAATTGTATGGCCAATGGATTTCACTTGTTGGAGTCTTGATAATGTTTAGGGGTGTGAAAAAAACTGGTTTACAAGAACCACACTTAAAAATATGGTGCATCTATTTCAAAAGTCCATATTATTTGGTTTAAAAACTAGTTCAAATTCATTTTACTAAAACAATTAAAAACCGGTGTCCACTTTTTAAAACCAATATATAAATGGTTAGTCCACTTTTCAAACATAATGTGGTTTTTATCTTGTTTCTGTTTCACGGTCATAAATGACAATTAACGTAATGAATATTTAATAAATAAAACTTATATATACATATATATATATATATATATATATATATATATATATATATATATATATATATATATATATATATATATATATATATATATATATATATATATATATATATATATATATATATATATATATATATATATATATATATATATAATTACTTTTTTTAAGAGAACTTTGTGTTCTCATAGTCTCGTAATGATGCATTTAGTCTTTCATCTCACATTCAATATTATATTTTAAATGCTTATTATTAGATTGAAATTATATGATTACTAAGTTGTTTTTGTATGCTTCTTTCTTACCTTGAATTAATTCATTTATTAAATTGATATGTTTTTTTTTAGAAATCTTTTCCACTTGATGACGGGTGTAGTCAGAAAAATGATAAGTGTAAAATAATATATAGAGAGTATTTTTTTGAAAAAGTGAAAAAAAAATACTTTTATATAAATGAGAGAAAATTATATGTATGTGAGAGAGATTGAATATTTTATAATTACTCAATTTTGATTTCTCTGATTAAAAGTTAATTTTTCATAATTATGACTAATTATTTCAATTCAATTAAATTTAATGCCAATGAATGGTTATTAATTTCAAAAATGGTTGAATAGAGTTAAGAATAAGTTGTTGGATTAAGAATTAAGTTTTAGTGAAAATAAGTTTGAGGGAAATTTGGTTTTAAAATTGGTCCAAACAAAAACTGATTTTTTAGTGTAAACTAGTTATTAACCAAACCGATCCAAATATAACTGGTTTTAAAAAAATAAACCAGTTTTGTAGAAATGGTTTTAAAAACCAAACTGATCCATATATTTGGTTTAATTTGGTTTGATTTTATAACCATGCACACCCCTATGCTGTTTGGTTTCTTGCTTCCGGCTACTGGGTTACCCATAATTGCATACTTGTTTTTTAGCTTGTCAGAGGAGCTACGAAAAACTGATTTTCACCAGGGTATCATCGACCTAAAAATGAAAGTCAATGTTTTACTTATGTGTTAAAGCAGTAGATTAGAATTTAGAAATTTGCATAGAAACACA